GTTGGATTCATTACCTCCTTTTTTGTGTCATAACTCATATAAACTAAGAAAGCAAAGAACAAAGGATCAAAGTTTTTAAGATTATATAGATGATGAGGTATAAAAATTTAATTTTCACTTATTTTCAAGTTGGTAATGGACATATACAAAGATAAAATAAGACATGCTGACATCTTAAATAGTCTTTATTTAAACTTTTATAAGTAGCTAATTTACTGTTAGATTGAGCTAAATTTTTTACAATAATTTTCAAACACATACTCTTCATTCTATATAATTAGATTAAAAACTAGAGGTGCTTAAATTGATCTGTTTTTCACATAAGAGTAGTTGTTAGAAATTCTTTTTAACTTTTCTTTTTTAATGTTGATGTATTCCAATAATATATTTTTCTTGATTATTTATGTTATAGTTTTTAGTTTTAACAAAGAAAGAACACTTGTTTACCAATAATAATAATAATTATTATTATTATTATTATTATTATTAGAAGTGTTTAGATGAATTATGGTTACATGACTTTTTTTCATATCAAGGTTTTTAACATGTAAAACATGGTATACATTCCATGCCTTAGTTTGTTGATTGGTTTATCATATTTTTACTTGCACAAAGAGGAAAAAAGGATTAGGACTTGGAAATTATAAATTTGATTATTTTGCTTTCTCTTTCCAACAAAACACGTACACATGCATAATCTAGTAATCATACAATTAGAGCTTAATTAAATAACCCAGAAAACATGATTGATAATTCAGCTGCGAAATTAAAGCTCAAGGACGCGTAGATGGTTTTCCACTAGGAGCCGGGGGTCCAGTAGTTCTCGGCCGCCCTCGGTCACGGCCTTTTCCAGGAGTACTGTTCCTGCTTACACTGAAACTGCAATGTTTTACTCATATTAGCAAGCACTTAACTAATAACAAGCTCATGATCATATATATTTAAAGTAACGTATAATTGACATAATTAATGGAGGGAATCAGTCCAAAGTTACCACTTACATCATACGTTGAGAAGATGGGCTAAAGAGCAGCATCAAACAGAGCAAATGGAAT